CTAAGAGCAGAAAGCCTTGTGTGTAGAGTACAGAGCTGCAGTTTGTCACCTACAGTAGTCAAAAATCCGTGTTCAGGTGTTTCAGACAGTGTTCACTGGCATTATATGGCATGATGGCATGCAGAGTGCAAATGAACATGTGTGTTCATAACTGGGACCTCATGCATACAAGGCTACGTAGCACCTTGGATTCATTGTGTGTTTAATTTGAATTAATTTTTGTGTGTGTTCAGAAAGTTTTTCCTGTTGGCAGCTTTTTTCATGGGCCCCCACATTCACTGGTTTGAGCACGTATAAGATCAGTGCCCATGGCTTAAAAGCTGCAAGATGAGGGCTAGGGGCATAATTCAGTTGCAAGCATACAGACCTGAGTTTGATCTCCACAACTCACATTAAGAAAAAGCTAGATATGGTGGCACACATTTGTAATCCCATCTCTGGGGCAACAAAGACACACAAGTCCCTGGGGCTCACTGGACAGACAGCCTAGTCTACTGTATGAATTCTGCCAGCCATCTAGAGACTGTCTCAGAAAAACAAAGTGGGTGGTGCCTGAGGAATGCCCAGTGCTATTCCTCTGGCCTCCAGCATGTATGTACACACGCAGGCACATACACACATATAAAAGAAGTAGGCTAAATGGGGGTAGGCTGGGGGCTGGAGAGATGGCTACTCTTGCTACTCTTCCGAAGGACCCAGGTTTGATTCCCAGCACCCACATGACAACTCACGTACAACTGCCTATAAATCCAGTTCTAGGGGATCTGACACCCTTACACAGACATACATGTAGACAAAACATCAGTGACTATGAAACAAAAGTAATTCATTACAAAAATAATTGGGGTGGGTTAAGAAAGAAAGTGAATCACAGTGGCATTCATCAGTGGGAAAGCATTTAGCTCTAACAGTGTTCTGCTTGTGTGTACTATACATATTTTATAATGAGGGGACTGGGCCCTTGCCAATAGTGTACTTCCCTTTGGTACAGATTAGACAAGGTGTCCTGTACCCAAACTCCCTGCTCTGCCTGCTGCCCCGGGCGTACTCTCAAGACTGTTGAAACTGACTGTATTTCATTTTAGAAGCTCTAGTACATCCTGTGGAAGCTTTGCCTGTGATAGCCATGAGCTGTCCAGAGATACTGGATGTGCTGAAGTGTCACTAACTACTAGTTTTCCATATTGATGCCCTTTAAAGAACCATCTGGAGGTTTGTGGGTGCAGTTCGGTGTGGAGCACTTACTGGGGGCATGTGTGAGGCCCTGGAGATAGTACATACTATGATGTTGTGTAAATGACCACAGTACTGATTATGGTAACACACATCCAACACATGTAGCCATGATGTTCTGACAAACATACCAGGTGGGTCCTGGGCCTCTGGGGAGTTAGACATGCTTTTGACTGTGATTCTGGGAATTTTGTGGTTTGTTTGGTTGTTCTTTTTTTTTTTTTTCAAAAATGCATCTTTGTTGTTTGGGTATTTGACCTCAGGTGGGGTTGAGTGTTCGCTACGCACTTGGATGGTAAGACTGTCCAGCTTCCATGTCACACATTCTAAGGGCAGAGAGATGTCCCTGTGTGGCAGGAAGCCAGTGACACCAGAACTCGTTTCTCTGAAGAAGCTTTGCCCTGCTGGGTGACCTCCTTTCACTCCCCCCTGTGAAGGCACAGGAACAGCTGGAGAGAGACATCCCTAGTGCCTGGGCAGAGGAACTGTGAGATTGACTTTTCTCTGGCTTGCCTTACACCCTCATTGCTGTCAATGTAGTTGATGCTACACTCCTCACCACTTCCTCCTTCTACAGTCTTGCCCTGAAATCCGATAGTTAGTCCTGAAGGGTCCCACAGGCAACTGGCACTCATTTTATGGAGGGTTCTTCAGGCGTCCAATCAAAGCACACAGCCTGTGTGGAGCTTTGGCTATTTCATGTAACTCCCCCCCCCCTTTTCTCTCTCTTGTATTCTCTCTCAAATATATGAAAAGTATCCTTGTTTTGCTGCTGTGATAGTTCCCAGCACTTAACCAGCTCTGGATCTTAGCCCCCTAGCCCACTTCCATTCACCTCAGCATGTAGTCCCTCTCTTAACAATCACAGCACCACCTTTATACCATAACAAAGACCTTAGCCAGGCCCAGTGGTGTGCACCTATCATCACAATTGGAGACAGAAAGATGAAGTACTTGAGTCCAGCCTTGGGCCACATAGCAAGACCCTTCAAAACACATACACAAATAAAAACCTTGATATCATGAAATATTCAATCTGCTGAATTTTTCTCACTGTCTTTTATGTCAATTCAAATAGAGTGGTATATCTACAGACTTATTTTCCAGTCCTTTTTTTTTTTTTCTGTACTGTTTATTTATTATGGAATGTGGGTCATTTGTCTTCTATAATGCCATACCTTCGTCTCATGTATCTCTGCCACTAGGTTTTTATAAACCAGTAATCAGAGGTACAAGATTTTATAAGATTACTTAGATCTGTGTTTGTGACTTCCCTGTGATCAGTTCCAGCTGATGGTTTGGGTGTGATCTAACCCAAGTGGTCTAAAGTAGTTTCTGCGGTCCACCAGTCCTTAGCCAGATCCACCAATTCTCTAGGGACATGTGCAGTCTTAGAGCACAATCAGACAAAGGTGCAGGTTACCACAACAAAAAAAGTGGGCCATTGTAACTCCAGTTGGGCAGGTGCTGGGGGTGTATGCCATGTTTACATTAGCAGAGAGTGGCACATCACCTGTGTGGCTCCTTAAGGGGATGTGCTTAGATCAGCTAACTTTACTATGGTCTCTGTTATCCTGGTGTTTGGGATTCGTGGGTTGTTTCTTTGTATGAGACAATCTTACCTACGTGGCCTTGGCTGCAACTACACTTGCATCTGTACAGGGATTAAAAAGTATGTGCTACCACACTTAACTGTCTTGGTTTTAAGTGGAAAACTATCACAAAAGAATCAAAATGCAACATTATAAAGGCATTGAGAGGAGACGGGCCTTTAAAGGAAAAAAACTTTGGGGGGAATGCATACATGCATGCTCTTATGAAGGTCGTGGGAGGATGTTGGTTGGCCGCCATCATCTCTGTACCCTATTCCCTTAAGACAGGGTCTCTCTGAACCCGGAACAGTGTTTGTGCTAGGCTGGGTTGACCATTGGAAATCACAGGTGCACATAGTTTTTATGTGGAGTTAAAGACTGGGATCCTCATGCCTGCCTCACAGATAGTCTCATCTACTGGGGTCTCACCTGCTGCGCCATCTCCCCAGCCCAGAGGTGGCTCTTCAGTAAATTGAAGAATAAGTAGACTCGGTGAGTATACTACAGAACCGCTAGTCCATTACAAGGGTTCGTTGTCATTTTTAAAACATCTTAGTTAATAGCCAGATTCAAATATGTACTTGAATTGTGTTGTGTGCGTAGTTAGTTTTTTCTTACTCTTTGGGATCCTGCCACCAGCTTCCAGATAAATACACAGAAACTTATTCTTACTTATGAGAATGCCTGGCCTTAGCTTGGCTTGTTTTTAGCCAGCATTTCTAAATTAATGAAGTTGACCCATTCTCTTTACCCTTTGCCTTTGAGCTTTTTACCTTTCTTTACTCCGTATTTCTTTCATCCCTTTTTACTCTGTGACTGGCTTGTGGCTGGTTGGCTGGCCCCTGGCATCCTCCTTTCCTTCTCCTTTTTCTTTTCATCCATCCTCTTCTCTCCAGCCTAGATTTCTCCTCCTGTTTATTCTCTCTGCCTGCCAGCCCTACCTGTTTCCCTCTCCTGCCTAGCTATCGACTATTCAGCTATTATACTGATCAGGTGTTTTAGACAAGCAGAATAACACAGTTTTGCAGAGTTAAACATATGCAATGTGAAAGACTGCAGCATGTCTTTGCATCACTAAACAAATATTCCACAGCATAAATGATGAATGCAAAATATCTTAGATTGATATCCCACAGCATGTGTAAGGTGGAACACAGAGGCAGGAGGATCACAAGTGTCAAGACCAGTCTGAACTAAGTAACAAGACCTCAAAAGGCTAAGCAAACAGCCGGGCATGGTAGCGGCACACCTTTACGCCCAGCATTGGGAGGCAGAGGCAGGTGAGTTCAAGGCCAGCCTGGTTTAACAGAGCGAGTTCCAGGACAGCCAGAGCTGTTACACAGAGAATCCCTGTCTCAAAAGAAAAGCTTGTTTTTATTCATCTTGTTTGTCTCAGCGTACTGCTGAAAAGACTTCGTCTTGCTTCCTGGTCACGCAGCTAGAGAATGGTGCTGCTTCTCTGACCTCAGCATTCATGGCTATCTTTGCTTCCTGACACCTGGACTAGGCCCAAGAGCTGTGGCCATGAGCCTGGCAACTAGGCAACAAGTAATGACTCCTCCAGGGCATGCCTCTTAAAACAGACCGATGCTGTTTTAAGAACTGCCAGGAAATGATGGCTGGCACAATGAAAAGCTGGACCGTGGCTGACTTTTGCCTATAGCAGACCCTTTCAAAAGTACTCTTTGCTCGGCAGAACTGTCCTCACTGGCCCTGTCTTCTGTTCTTGGGAGTGAATCAGGAGGTGGTTCTGCCATCTGATAGGAGCTCTTAGTGACTGGAAAACCTTACATCTTTTATGGGACTTGTAGTTTTCTGTCATTAAGATCAGTGAAACTTCCCTTCTCCCCTTGTTGGGAAGGGGTGAGTTCAAGGCTTTGTATGTGCTTGGCAACTGGTCTACCAGGCACATGGGTTAGTTTTATTGTCACCCTTGGTGAAAAAGACTTGCTCCCATTGCCACCCACCTTTGGCTGATAGCAACACATGTGCAGTAGTGGTTACATGTATGCATGGTATGCTTGGAACATTAGCCATTAGCATGTTTGCTGCCGGTTTAGGGAAGGGTGTGCAGAAGAAGGGGGTATGTATGGTAGTTTTACCACTGGTGTAGCATTTGTAAACACTAAAGAAAGAATATAGACTCTAAGGTGGTTGTGCCATTTTCTCCCGCAGGAGGTTTCAGTCAAGAAGAACTCCTAAAAATATGGAAAGGACTCTTCTACTGCATGTGGGTACAGGACGAACCCCTTCTGCAGGTAACACAGCCCCTCATCGAGTTCCTGAACCTTTGCCACTGTGGATAAGAGATTTGACGCTCTGCCAAGTCTGCTGCCATCCCCAAACAGATGGAAGTAAACGCTTCAAGGAGCCATTGTCTCAGCTCTTGTCCCCTCAGGAAGGGGCAGCAGGCACTTAGGCTGTACTTTCAGACATATCGGACATGCTAAGTCATAGATTCCCTATTGCTCTCATCATTTCATAGCTTCCGTGGTAGATTTTACACAATGTTTTTAATGTTTTTGCTTTCTCTTCTGTTGATGCATGGTCAGAAGCAGAGCAGGGGTCCTGCAGCCAGGCCCTGTGGCTAAAGTGCCATGGGTTGCACTGGTGACCAAAATACACAATCAAGCTTTTATCCCTGCCCACTGAGCCTGCCACCAATACAACCATGGAAGAATTTTGTTCTAATGTCAGAAGCTAGACCCACCTCAATAACAGGGGAGTATGGCTCACAACACATAAGCCCCAGTATAGAGTCCAACTGGGAGGCACCTACCTTTTTTATGAAGCCTTGCTTCTTTTCTCAGGACATGTAGTGACTTGTCTGAGTTCAATGTGTTGAATCCACTGAACATATTTTGAGTGGGATAGCAGAGCAAAATATTGTAAGATTATATTCAGAAGTAGCAACAAGCAGCTTTAGTGGAGGAAGAGAACCAACCAAAAGGAACATCGTTTTCAAGTCTTGGAGTTCATTCAAGACAAGTAAGGAACTCTGGGCACAGGAGATATGAGCAGGGCTGTTAAAGACGTTCGTCTTCAGGTCGCTGGAGGATGGAGGGCGTCTTCCTAGACCCAGCCCCTTACTCCTGCTGTGCCTTCATGTGCTCTTCAGTTTTGCCCAAAGCACAACCTAGAGGAGTGTGTTGACATTCTAGCCTACACTAACCAGGTCTAGTAGAAGACTGCAGTGGAAACCCCATTGTACAAGCACCAGCAAGGTGCTGCTATACCTTCTGGCTTTGCAAAATTTGGTATTTACGTAAGATTCTGTTTACTTTATATGTTAAAGCCAGGGATGGGGTGTGGCAATGCTCACCTTTTATGCCAGTCCTCAGGTCAGGCGTAAGCAGACAATCTGAGTTCAAGGCCAGCTGGAGCTATGTAGAAATCCTGTCTTGGGGGTGGGGGGGGCAGGAATTGGCAGTGAGACTACTTATTCTGGAATCAGCCAACCTCTTAACCAGAGATGTTTTCTTAAACACATAGTTTTAGCATTTTTTACAGAAACATCACATTAGCTCAGTAGTAGTTCATTAAAGTTTGGAGTTTCACATAAAACCCAGGGTGTCAGCCACAGACCCAGGACAAGAGGCATGGGCTTTCCCACCACAGAGGGAGGAAGGTACCACCCACAGCACTGCCACCACAAGCGTGAACCACCTAATAACTGATGTTTCTCCCCAACCCACCTTTGCAGGAGGAGCTAGCGAACATTATTTCCCAACTCATCCATGTTGTTAACAGCTCAGAGGCTCGTAAGTCCTGCCATTTTCCTGGCTTTCAGACTTCCTTGTTAGTAGGTTTGGTGCTTGCCTGGGGAACCTAGTCCATGCTTCCATCCTGCGACGTTCCTGTTTTCTGGGTGTTGGTGACGGTGACGTGGGACCCTCCTGATAGTATTGCATGGATGTCAAGAGCTATTATTGTTTTAAAGGCTGCTATGCTTAATGTCAGCTGCTAAGTAAACCAAGATCATTTGGCATCCAAAGATTGAGCAACACTCAGTCCAAATTCAAAGCCTCCAAATTCAACTTACTCTCACACTTAGAAGCAGTGACACATATGCCAGTACATACAGTAACCCGGCAGGTGCATCCTGACCAAGATTCGTGCCATCATGGCAATAAATGATTGTAATAAAGCAACCCTTATCTGTCTAAAAGAAAAGAGTTTTCCACAATGTTTGGCTTCCCCCTGAGTGACCCTGGTTGGTTCTCTCAGTTCTAGCTGACTTGCAATATGTAAAATCTAGTTTGTTGTATAATAAAGATTTCAACTGTTAATAAATTGTGCTGGGCATGGTGGTACGTTCAGGAGGTTTGTGAGCTCCAGGCCAACCTGGGTAACAGCCAAGCCCTATGTAGAAGGGGGTAGAGATGTTCAAAAGTCAGTAAATAAGAAAAGGTTTCCAATTTTAAAGGAGGTAGTTCTATGGTTTAAATAGCTTGTGCTGTGTCTCATACAGACAACACCTAACATCAGAAAAAGAAAAAGCCTGCATTTTTATATGAATTGTAAGGATGTTGATCGAGACGAATAGATTGGTAGAGAGGGCCAGGGAGGTGCCTTCAGGGGTCTCTAATAGAAAGGTGGGTTCGAGGGGGATAAAAAACAGTGCTTCAGGGAGCATTCTGATTAACAGATGCTGATAGTATCATGTTATAATGTCTTTATATAGCTACAAAAGAAATTGTGAAGCATATTTAGTTATTGGCCAATCTATCCTATCCAAAAGTTCTTGAGATAGATAAGTAAGAGAACTAAATGTGTTTTTGGTCGCTTCCTTCTTGCTGTGTTTTCATGTGGCAACTGAGCACCTCTTGTTCCTGCAGAACACCTGTTCATTCAGACCTTCTGGCAAACCATGAATCGAGAGTGGCAAGGGATAGATAAGCTGCATCTGGACAAGTACTGCACGGTAAGGGGGTGCCTCCCTCTATACACAGAAGGTTCTGTTGGAAGACCAGCAGGGAGCTGGGGGTGGGGGGTGTGCAGCTCAGTGGTAGAGCACTTACATGGCATTTATCTTTTCTCTTTTGGAAGCTGTGCTGGAGTTTGCTAAGAGGCTTTTGGAGGGTACTTTTGGTTGGTTAGTCAGTTTGGGGTTTTCACAGGATTTCTCTGTGTAGCCCTGGCTGTCGTGAACTCGCTATGTATAAAACAGGCTGGCCTCAAACTCAGAGATCCGCCTGCCTCTGCCTCCTGAGTGCTGGGATTAATGACATGCACCGCCACCATCGCCTGGCCCACTTATGATTGTAATCACTAGAGTTAAGAGAAAGAAAGGCTATTGGGAAGAAAGTAAAAGACACCCCAGGACAAGGATGTGGGCTTCTCAGGCAAGAGCTGCCTTGCCTGCATTCTTGAGGCCTAGCTTCCATCCTCAGCAAGAAAACAATGGAAAGCCAGGCCTAGCGTGGCAGGATGTCATGGTCGTGCCCCGATTGTTGTTTTCTGGGGGTTGTGTGGCAGAGCCTCTGTATGCTGTGTGGGCCAGTTTCTGGCTCTTGGGTACAGGGATATACACCCCTGTCTGGCTTCATGATTTTGATCCAGGGGTTAAATAGACTTAAGGATGTTGTCTCACTTTGGGGATCCAGCATTGGGCCCCTCATTCTGCCAAGATGATGACTACTTTTTACTTTTATTATAAAAATGTCAACCTTTAGCTGATCCGCCTGGTCCTGAGGCAGTCCTTTGAAGTTCTCAAGCAGAGTGCCTGGGAAGAAAGGTCGGTAAACTATTTACTTTGATATGTGGTGATATTAAAAGCATGTCAGAGTTGCTATGTGACTCGTGGTAGAGCACTTGTTTAGTGGGTATGAGGCCCTGGTTTTGATCCTTAGTAACTCCAAAATATCCTTATAGACTAATAGGGTCCTCTTAAGATTTCAGGTAATAAAAAAAAAAAAAAAATATGAATTGGCTGGTCTATGTCTACCACTATGTAGTGCTATAAGAAGCAAATTAGATCTGAGCCAAGGGAGTTTAAGGCCCAGTGAAGTAGTGTGAGCTGATATGACCAGAGTAACTGTTGTCTTCCCTTTAGGCCTCATAGTGATTGTTAGGCAGTATGAGCAGTAACTGTTTTTGTCTGTTATTTGATAAGAGGAGGGTATTGGTGATAATGTCTTTAGAAAAGCATCTGTTTGTATTTTGTTGTTCTTTAGCCAAGTCAAGCTTTTTCTGGACATCCTGATGAAGGAGATCCTGAGTCCTGAGAGCCAGTCTCCCAATGGAGTGAGGTCCCACTTGATTGATGTTTATTTGGATGAGCTTTCCACTGTGGGAGGGAAAGAGGTGAGAAGTAGCACTGCCCAGCCAGCAGTTGATGGGACCACCATGCTCAGGGGATGACATGGATGCTGTCAGAAGGAGCAACCTCTCTGTAACTTCTCCCCTCCTGGCGTTGACTTGGGTAGAGACCTGTGTACTATACGTGTGTGACAGTCTTAGGTGACAGTATAGGATTGAGCCTCACGTAGCTGCTGGAGAAGCCAAGGCAGGAGAGTCATTTGAGCCGGGAGTACAAGGCCCCATGGTCAGGCGAAGCGGTATACATCTATAACCTCAGCATTGAAGCAGGTCCATCTCGTGTTCCAGAGCAGCCTGTGCCACATAGCGAGACCCTGCCTCCTCCCCCTGCAGAAAGAGTCAGAAATAATTACAGGGTCTGGTATGAAAAAAATCAGGGAATATTGATTATTTCAGAAGCTGTGGGGGAAAGGCAGTAGACAACAATATACAGATTATACCCAATGTAAATAGACAAAAAGCTAGTAAGAAAAGGTATACTTTTAGATAAAGATGGTTATCTTAATTTGGGAATATAAACAATTTCTTCTATTCTCTTTGAAGTTCTATAGTGAACCTTTTTTATATGTATATTAATTAAAAGAAATCAAAATACATATTTTTTGTTTACCTTTTGGGAGGGTTGTTTGTTTTTTGAGACAGGCAGGGTTTTTCTGTGTAGTTTTGGAACCTGTCCTACAGGACTCTCTCTGTAAACCAAGCTGGTCTTGAACTCACAGAGATCCCTGCCTCTGCCTGTGGAGTGCTGGGATTAAAGGCATGTGCCACTGCCACCTGGCTTTAAATGATGTATTTTCAGGAGAGGGGCAACACATGTACATACACACTGAGTCGATGAATGAATGAAGGTTAAAACTAAGGAATGCCTTTGTCTCGTGCTTTGAGATGGCATCCACATCAAATTCATATTTTCCTTTCAGTTCTGGAGATAGCCAGGGCCTATTGCTAGGCAGGTGCCACTTGCAGCTGTCTCAGGAGACGTGAGTGCTGCAGTGTAGCCCTGACCAGTTGATGATTCTTTGGATCACTGCACTGACACACCCAGAAGACCAGAGGGAGACTGGCTTGGGTGCTAGGCAGCCCCTGTAGCATGTCTGGTACTGCCTGCAACGGGCATGGATGCAGCTGATCTGACCTGTGAGGGGCAGGTACTTGCTCTTCTAGAACATGTCCAAAAAGAGAAAAGGCTATCTTTCCCTTATTTTTCCTCAATGTTATGTCTAAATTACAGCTTTTGGCGGATCAGAACCTCAAGTTAATTGATCCATTCTGCAGAATTGCTGCCAAGACCAAGGAGTAAGTGGCTGCCATGTTCTCACCGCTTTTTCACTGTTCCGTTGGTGCCTGAGGGTGGGGTTCTGTTGTGCTACAGTAAGGAGCGCCTGAGGCCAGGCCAGCCCACAACAAGATCCTACTCGGAAGGAAGGGATTGAGCAAGCTAGCAGAGGTTCTGGTCCCTGCTACAGCACTTGGCTGGCCACTCAAGGATTCCTGTCTGTCCTGGGGCACGTGGTGGTTCCTTGAATCTGCAGTGGGCCTGCTTCAGGGGTGTCCCTGAATCTCTGTGGTGGGCACAGGGGGCCCCAGGCAGGCACAAGCACATCCCTGAACTGTTCTCCGCTCCACCTCTTCCTGCACAGGCTCCAGACCGAGTGTTTTAATCATATTCTCTCTGCTGTGCTTCTGCCCTCAGCCACACACTGGTACAGACTATAGCTAGGGGTGTTTTTGAAGCCATTGTAGATCAGTCTGCTTTTGTACCTGAAGAGACTGTGGAGGAGCAGACCAAAGTGGGTGAAGGTGGTCGCTCTGCCCAAGAGATCCCTGCAAACAAGCTGGCCTGTAGAAAAGCAGTCAGTGGAAAGAAGGCTGGTGAGAACATTTCCTTTTATGTTCTTTGCTTTCTGGGGGCTTGGTTGGTTGGTTGGCTGGGTTTTGCTTGTTTGTAGATAGTAGTTTTGTCTGTGGGTGTGTACACTTTCATGTGAAGGCCAGATGTCAACACTGGAAGTCATTCCTCTGGTTTTGTGACCTCTTACTTGGAGATGGCCAGTGAATTCCAAGGATCCACTTGTTTCTGCCTTCCCTGTGCTGAGCTTACAAGCCTGTGCTGCCATGCTCAGCATTTTTTTATGTGGATTCTGAGGATTGAACCCAGGCCCTTGTGCTTGTGTGGTGTGTACTTGCCTGACTAAGCCTTCATTGGCATCTCGTTGAATATAGCCCACCCAAAAAATGAAGCAGGGTACATGAGAGGCATGTGTGTATCATCGGAGAACCCCAACACCACTCACACTAGGCCCAACTGATCTGTCCCTCCAAGGAACTCACCTTCTTCCTGAGGTGTTCGGCCCATGCAGGCCTGTAAGAGCTGCCCTGCAATTGAGATCACACACTTGCTTCTATGGCTCCCCTCTGGCACACGGCTTCCTTCCAGGAGTGTCTAGTTGTTTTGTGTGTGTGTGGGGGGGGGTTGTTTGTTATGGGGCTAGTACTGGGGATAAAAACTGGAGCTTTACTAGACTATTAAGACAGGCATTTTGGGGCAGTGGTGGCACATGCCTTCAATCCCAGCACTCAGGAGGCAGAGCCAGGCAGAGCTCTGTGAGTTTGAGACCAGCCTGGTCTACAGAGTGAGTGTCAGGACAGCCAGAGATACACAGAGAAACCCTGGCTCGAAAAACTTAAAAAAAAAAAAATTAAAAAAGACATTTTTAAGACAGTAAATCCATGTATCTCCCTAGGCAGTAGTTGCTGGTGTTCTATTTTTATTTTTCTCCCAGGTAATGGGGATTGAACCCAGAGACGGGAGGGACTGAGCCACAGCTATTCTTGAATGTCAAGATTTTGTCTTTGTGTGTGTGTTGGCAGCACTGGGCAGATGCCTCAGAGATGGAGTTCTTGGCAGCAGAGAAAGAGACAGCTGTGCAGCCTTCAAGGATTCAGGGTCACCTCTCCAGGTGGGGGCAGCTTTTGCTTTTTATAGAATATGGGTTGACTGGGGGTGCTTGGCTGGAGAATTAGGGTCAGAGCTCATTAAGCCATAGGGCCTGAATTGTAAAGTCCTTTATAATCCCTTCTGTAATTAACGTCACCATTCTTAGAATGAGCTTGTTGGGAATAAATTTAAAAGAATGAGGCTTTAGGCTGACATGGTGTTGCACACATGGAATCTCAGCACATAGGCTCTCAAGTTCAAGACTAGCCTGGGCTACCTACAAAATTCCTGTTTCAAAAACCTAAAAAGGAGCCAAGCTGGTGGTATACACCTTTAATCCTAGTACTCAGGAAGCAGAGGTAGACAGATCTCTGTGAGTTCAAGGCTAGCCTGATCTACATAGCAAGCAAACTACAGGCCAGCCCAGGCTACATAGAGGTGGGATTTTGAAAGGCACTGATTCTCACTTTCTAATCATGGCTCTCTGTTTTCTTTGTGTGGCAGCACCAGCCCTACTGGTACTCTTGGTGTTGGGGGGTGGGGGGTGATTTGTTTTTTGAAGCAGGATGTTGCTATATAGTCTAAGCTGAAGTTCATAGCAATCTTATGCTGGAATACAGTTATGCACCACCACACCAGGCTTCTAGTTTTGGTTTTAGGTTACTATATTGGTGGTTTGTTACAGGGTCCCTCTGTTGTGTGGCTCTGACTGTCTCAGAACTGCTCTGTAGACCAGGCTGGCCTCAAATCAGAGATCCACCTACCTGTGCCTCCTAAGTGCTAGGGTTAAAGGCATGGGCCACCACACCCGCTCCCAGTTGTGCTTTCAAAAAGTCAGTATAACATGTGCTAAGATTGAGAACCCAGGAGGAACATAAGCAGCTCATCTGGCAAATTTTGCTCTCCAGTTTGGAGAGGACTGCTCCCAAGAACACCTAGAAAGCAACTCTCATGTTTCTTGTCTCTTTTGGTAGTTCGACTATAAGGCTGTTGCTGATCGACTCTTGGAGATAGTCAACTCGAAGAGCACTCCTCCTTTCAACCGGAAGCGGCTCTGCAGGCTGATCAGAAAGTAAGCAGTGAGTGAAGCCCACGGCCATAGCACCATGAACCGGCACTCTCCTTGTGCTGCTTTTTTTCCTTTTCTTTTAAAGATTTATTTTGTGTACACACTTGGTCATGTGTGTGTGAGCGTGTGTGTGCCCGCGTGCCTGCTCAGATGCCTGCAGAGGCCACAAGGGAGTTTGAAGCTGGAGTTGCAGGCAGTTGTGAGGCATCCAGTGGAGGTACCAGGAACCAAACTCTTTATCCTTTTTAATTTTATTCATCAGCAACGTAGCAAACATGTGAGCTAAAGTCAGGGAAAGAGGCAACCCTGCTCATCTCATACAGCTGTAGGGTAGTGATGCCAGTGTACTCCTCCAGTGTCTCCTGTTGCCATACCAAAATGTTCAGTTAGCCACCCTCATTCTTACCTCCCAGCAGAGTTATATCACGTAGTCCAATGGGTGATGTACTTGCTACATGTAAGGAAACATATGGGCTAGAGTTTGGTCCTCGGTACCCATGGAAGTTTTAGGCAGCTGTGGAAGCCCATATCTAACCTCAGCACCCATGAAGTTCCAGGCAGTAAGGTGGCCCATTTGCTTGAGGGGCAGAGATGGGACTCTCAAGAGTAAACTGGCTAGACTATCCAAGTTGGTAAGCTCTAGGTTCAAGAAAGAGACCCAGTGGAAGTGGCTCTGGAAGATACCAGTGTCAACCTCTGACCTCTACATGCACATATGCTGACATGCAAACATGTGCGCGCGCACGCGCACACACACACACAGACACACACACAATGGCTTCTAAGGAAAGAATACTCTAGAAGATACCATTCATAACTTCCCATGATTTATAGCTGGGTCACTAAAAGGCTTGCCCAGGTCTCCACTGTGAATGCTGGAGCTGACTTGCCTGCCTCAGTGACCCAGCCCAACCCTGTGCACATCCTTCATATCCTAGTGCATAAAGTTGCATAAAGAGAACCCTCCACCAGTCTCCCTTAGACATAAGCAGCGCTGAGCTGCCTGCCTTCAGAGACAAGTGAGGAAGACGCTGGAGTGCTTGGTGTTTCATGTGCCAAGAGAGACTCTGAAGCCATGGTGGCCCTTGCGTATTGGTGGAATCGAGGGTGCCTTTGTCCTGGATTCCTTCCTGACCCATCACATCCCTAGGTGGAGCTGTCCCTGGCCTCCCCTGTGCAGGAAAGAACAAGGAATGCACGTACAGATTCCTGCTTATGTTCAAGACTTGTGTCTTGAATGCTTCTAACTCCCTGTGTTCCTTTCTTTTCAGGTTCCAGGATCTCTCTGAAGGTGAGAAGAGTTGGGTTTTGAGTCAGGGTGTTCATATCCGATGCGCACCCACCAACAGCATCCCTCTCAGATTCTGAGAAGTGGGTTAGCAGGCCTTCATGGGAAAGTGACAAATAGGGTGGCCGTCCTCGGCTGGGTTCACCTGGCATACCTAAGGGAATGCCCTGGGATGTGCCACAGTGCAAGACCCTTTCCCACTTTCCATCCATCTGATTCCTCCTATATGTGGGTAATGTGGTGGATTTTTGAATTTTTATTGGTGCTTTCTACAGTTAAGTTTTAATGGGAGAGGGAAGGCAAAAGAGGTGATTCAGTGGGTAAGAGCACTGGCTGCCTTTTTAGAGGACCCACGTTCAATCCAGAACCCATAGAGAGGTCCCATCAGTGCCCTCTTCTGGCTTCTGTGGGCACCAGGCATACACATGATACACAAACATACATGCAGGCAGAACACTCAAGGGTTTTGAGTTTGTTTGTTTGTTTGTTTGTTTGTTTGGCTAGTGAGCCAGATGTCCTATTCCTTGTGTACTGGGTGGGCTCACAGAGCCAGATGGAATAGAAAGCCAACAGTCACCATCAGTGTGTATTCTGGCCCAGAGCCTGAAAAGCACTTGGTACTGTGGGTGATGAAGCAAATCTCAGGCTCAGGACCCTTACCTGGAGGGTTAGGAAGGAGCCCAAGACCTGAGCTGCTGCAACAGATGCAAAAAGGCATTGGAAGCTGACCAGTGTCCCTTTGGTACCTACCAGGCAATAGCATTCAGCCCAGTTTTGGTGAGGACATTACTGCTGATGAAAATGGTCAAGCCCTCGTTCAAAAAAGGCACAAGAAAAAGAGAAAGAAGCTTTTAGAAAGAGCTGCCTTGGACAGGGAAAAAGGTAAGCAGTGAAGCCTTGAGTCTCAGGGCAGAAAGAAAGGCTCACATCTAAGTAGTTCTGTGCCCTTGAGGTCTGGGGACTGGTGAGCCAGTGCTCTCTTGAGTCATTGGCAAGCCAGGAAGCAAAGGGGACACAGGAAACTACAGGATCAGGCTGTAAACCTCGAGAACTTACTCCAACTAGACCTACCTCCCAAAGGTTCTACAGCCCCTTCTAATAGGGGCCAAGTGTCCAAACACATGTGCCTAGTATGTGTGTCCTCCTCCACTGTGACAAGCTCTTACTGCCCTGGCATGACTTGGCTAGGCTGACTGGCCATTGAACTTCATGGATCCATCTGTCCTGCCCTAGACACACATGCGCTTGGGCTACAGATGCATGCCACCACACTTAGCTCTTTATGTGGGTGCTTAGGTCCAAACTCAAGTCCTCTTACCTTGACAGCAAGTACTTTACCTACTGAGTCATCCTCCCAATCCACCAATGGGATTTTACTTCCAGACCTTAACGACTCAGTGGTGAGAATCCTGCCTATAAAGGAGTCTGCTATGATGTAGTACCACCTGTATTCCTATCACTCATGAGAGGTAGTCATGACAACCAGGTTTTCCTAGAGCAGCTGTGGTTGTACAGCAAGTTTGAGGCAAGTCTGAGCTACGTGAGACCCTATCTCACAAAACAACAAAAAACCACTGGCTGCTGGTCTGCTGACAGCCACCAGCAGGGCCAGGCAGCCCTCTCATTAGTCTGCATCTTTGTAGGAAACACAGTCTCTCCTGATGGTGAGGAGGACATTGGAGGCAACGTTCACAAGAGAAAAAGGAGAAAGAAGAAGAGGAACCACTTCCAGGCTGAGACTCAGGGCCTGGATGCTGTTGCCATGCCCCCGGCACAGGGTGCTGACAGTGAACCTGAAGTAGAGGCTGCCGTGTCTACCATCAAGGAGAACAGCTCTGAGCCAACACCCATCTTACCCACACACAACAAAAGGAAACGGCTGAGGAAAAAGAACCTGAGGATCCACAGAGAGATCTGGAAATCCACCGCTTTACCTCAGGAGAATGTGTCAGAGAACCATCCTGTCATTGGGCATCCTCAGAGCTCTGCTGCCCAAGTGTCTTCCTCAGAAGGTGTCCAAGCCCAGAAGAGGAAACGGAAACTTGGAGCTCTCCCTGTCAACAATGGTGGCTTGACTGTGCAGAAGGCAGGCACCCCAACAAGCCCAGGGGAAGAGAAAGATGGCCAGTCCACCCTGCCCCAGGGCAAGAGGCCACAAAAGAAGACAGTGTCCTGCAGTCTTAACCTCTATGATCTGTCTAGTCAAAAAACAGCAATCTTAAAAAAGAGGAAAAAAATGAAGCGGATGTCAGACTTAGTAGAACACAACGGAGTGTTGGAGTCCAGCGCCAGGCAAATCCAAGCTCTGGTAAGGTGGGAAGTGCCTGGGGTGTGGGTGCTGGGCTTGAAGAGGTATGCTCAGAGGACTCAGCTGTCTGCTAGGGCTAGGGCACAGGGACAACCAGACCTCAGGGAAGAACAATTAGACTACACTGCTTTATAACAGCTCTCACCAAGCAAAATGACAGGTTCCTGTCTAGGTGGCCAAGTATGGGTGCTCCACTCAGCACCGTACTCCCCACCTCTTCCCTCACAGGCCTGATGTCTCATTGGGTCAGGCAAGGGTAAGCACATTGCTAAGAAACTGTCAGAGTCAGGCCTCTATTCAAAGCTGCTCTCTCTCTGTCCACTGCCACTGCCCATCCATCCCCTGTGGCAAAGAAGCCTGGAGCTCTTACACTTCCAGGTTAATGAAAGGGTGCTCGCTCTCTCTCTCTCTCTCTCTTGCTCTTTGTCTCTCTCCCCCTCCCTACCTCCCTCCCTCTCTCTCTCTCTGTCTCTCTCTCTCCTTCTAGAGCTGTAAAGGAGGACTCAGGCTGTTCATTTTTACCATGTCTGAGAAGCACGCTACCTCTGTGCCCAGGTCAGCCATTGTGGCAAACACACCACACCATGTGCTTGTTGCTGTGGCCACCAAGCCACCAAAATAGTGAGTCCCTGGCTTTACAGGGAGACATGTGACCCTTGTGCAGCACCACTGCTTTGCAGTGCCTGTGACATTGAAGCCCATCGCTGACCACTGAGTTGATGGACAGGAAAGGGTTACTGAAGGAGAGCAGAGCACTGGGCTGGCCTCCAGACGTCATCGCAGCCCATCCTGCTGGCTTCTCATCTTCACAGGGAAGCAACAGAACTTTGAAAAAGCCAGTGACAACAGAAGATGACTTTGTGAAGTTTGACACCCACTTCTTACCAAAGCCCCTGTTCTTCAGGAAAGCAAAGAGCAGCTCTACCATCTGTCCCCGAGGTCCTGCTGTCCAGGTGAGCCTTCCACAGGGACATGCACACAGGTGTTCTAAGTTCTGGTGCAGGTGATGAATTCTACCTGGCAAGATGCTATCTGGCCACCTGAACGTGGATGTACAGGTGGAATAAAGTAGGAGCAAACTCGGGAAAGAGGCACGGGGTTCTAGAAAGGGCTCACCCAGAGCTCTTACAGTGCAAAATGGGTTGACTTCTTGGAACATGTCAAGTAGAAAGGCTCATCATTAATTCTGATGAATTGTTGGGCTATCTAGATAACTTGAAGTTCTTAGTATAAAACATTGGGAATTTTGGTCTGTGGTGGGGTCCCAGTGGTAGAGCATTTGCTCAGCACGTGTCACAGCCTTGGGTAGTATCTCCAGCAAAGATTTTAAAATGCATATTCATTACACATTGAAATTAGACCCCATTTTAAGCCTAATGTAATCAATTGTATGTGAACTATAAGTTACATCGTAGAAATTCTGGGTCTGCTGGATGGCTTGGCTGGATTGCCACCCAAGTCTCACAAGCTGAGTTTAATTCCCAGAACCCAAGGTGGAAGGGAATGACTGACCTCCAAAAGTTGTCCTCTCTCTCACACCACACACACACACACACACACACACATACACACACAAATAAAATAACTTGTTTTTAAATTCTGGGGCAACAAAATGAATGGTGGTCATTAACATCCTTATAATTTTGGGTGACAACGTTGAAATTCCAAACATTCTTTACCCTTTTGTTTTTTTGGTTTGGTTTGGTTTGGTTTGGTTTGGTTTGGTTTGGTTTTCGAGACAGAGTTTCTCTGTGGCTTTGGAAGCTGGCCTGGAACTAGCTCTTGTAGACCAGGCTGGTCTGGAACTCACAGAGATCCACCTGCCTCTGCCACCCAAGAGCTGGGATTAAAGGCGTGCAGCACCACCCACCACCATGCTATTCTTTATCCTTCTTTGAGTTCCCTCCCCACCCCCACCTGGGACTGTAGTGCCCAGTGTGGGAAATCTATGCATGTATAAAAGTGGTTTGTGAAGGTCATGGTAGTGGAATCTATTTAGGCCACAGCATGCTGTCCCAATAGCCTTTGTATATGTATATACAGATCAGGAAATAGACTGCAAGGGCCTTCCCTGGGTAGGTTCTTCAGAAAAATCCCAGATAAGGAGGCTGAGCACCTGTGTTACCATGGTTACTCTTTTGTTCTGCAGCTGAATAAAACACCCTCCAGCTCCAAGAAAGTCACCTTTGGATTGAACAGAAACATGACCGCAGGTGAGTGGGTGGGCTTCTGGGAAAATTCCTTGGAACCAACTAGCCGGAGCTGGCTCAGGGTTCTCTGGCCGCCAGAGATCCTCCTATTCCAGGGTCAGCCAGTTAGGTGGTGCCAATGTCTCTAGCCTCACAGATCTAACATGGGTTGTCAAGGGAGAGATTTTGTTGTTTTTGAGACGAGGTGTTTCTATGTAGTTTTAGCTATTGTGGAACTCATTATGTAGACTATGCTGTCCTCCAACTCACAGAGATCCTTCTGCCTCTTGAGTGTTGGGATTAAAGGGAGAGAGAGAGACTTCTTAGGGGCTCGGAAGGTTTCCAGGAAAAGGGTGAGGTGAGAGGTTGTTTGTCCAGGTGCTGTCTAGTTCTGTCCCAGGGGCTTAAGAAACCCTGGTTCCTTAGCGCTAACTGCCTAGGCTACAGTTCAGGGCCACCAGTGAACCAGTAGGGAGAGGAAGGAAGCCTCCTTACTGGTGGGGTAGTGATGCTACCCACTAAGTGATGCAGCCATTTTTACTCTTACTTCAGAGAAACCAAAAGGACTCTGGTAAGGAGGTGGTGGTCTGGTTTGGTCTGGCTTGATTTGGCCTGGAACTCACAGAAATCTACCACCTCTGCCTTGAGTGCCGAGATTAAAAGCATGTCCCACTACACCCCACCAGTTTTAAGTTTAATGAGTTTAAGACCTTATTCATGTAGACAGTAAGTGAACGTGTACGTGCATACCTGAGTGAGCAGGCATGTGTTTGGAGAGCGGGGGTGCAGGAAGGAATGAGAAGGACACACCTCAAGCTAAACACCCTAATCCATAGAGCTGGAGGTGAAGGCAGATCCTGCTGAGGGACACTACCCCAGGCAGCTGGCTGTCACTCCTGTCCCCACGTGCACTTCATCCCACAACAAACCCCAGGACAAACTTGCTCCCCTCGCTGTACCTAGGTGTTGTCTGCATTTCTGGGACATGGGAAATATGAGCCATGAGCCCCCTGCACACCTGGAAGGAACAGGCGTGACATCTAACTAATAGCCTTTACTCTCTCCTTTGGGACAGAATTTAAGAAGACAGACAAGAGTATCCTGGTCAGCCCCACAGGCCTCTCCAGAGTGGCCTTTAACCCTGAACAGAGGCCACTCCATGGAGTGCTGAAGACCCCAACCAGCTCCCCGGCCAGCACTCCTCAATCAGCCATGAAGCTACCAGCCACCACTCCAAAGAGAAGGCCAAGGGCTGCGGACTTCTTCTGAGAGCCAGAGTCCCTTTTTAAAGACTGCTTTTATACTGGATATTCTATAAATTATAACTTTTAAATGTGGGCTTTTTAATTATTTTACAAATCCCCGTGGGCGGGGCAAATGTCCCTCCTCACTGGGGGTGCAGACCATGGTTCCTGTCTGAGTCCATTCACACGCTCACCAGAAGGACTAAGTGCTGTTGGTGTATGGAGCCCCTCTCCTCGCTGCCTGTTGCTGCACCTGCCACAGTGGGTTGCCTTTCTGGTTATTTGTAGTCTCGGTCTGTCTCCGTGTGAAAGCATGTCAGCTCAGGCCCGTTCTGTGGGCACATGGCTGTTTCTCCTAGTGATGACTCTTGAAACTGAATGAGCAATAGTGTAGCTTTTCTATGTGTGACCAGCAGGGGGGTGGACAGGTGTGGGGTGGAGGAAAGCTGCTCTGTCCGTGAGGCTTTTTCTCCTCTGCCTAGCCTGTTCCTGTCCCTGTCTTCCTACCTCTATAGCAAGCCCAAAGTGTCTTTTCAGGAGGGCCAGTGCCCCCGCCCCCCAGGCTGCTGCCCACATTAGCACAGTATCCTAGGCATGAATCTTAAGCTCAGTGAGTGAGCCCAGGGCCTCTCTTGACTGCACCTGCTTTTTTTCCATTGAAGCTTGCACCAGCGTTGTCTGGACCCTAGGCTCTTGGCAGAACAGGAAGTTGGCCTCCCAGGAGTGCATGTACTGACAGCTATTATTACCTAGAACACAAGCACCTGGGTCCATACAGGTGTTCTAGAGCTATCTGAGCTTAGTGCAAAACCCAGAGAGACGCTCAGACTTCAATGAAACCAATCTGACTTCTTTGTCAGAGCAAAGCCTGCTGCTCAGCAACTGGCCTTGTTTAAGGAAACTGCCTTGGGTCTGAGGGGTGGTGACCTCAGGGAGGAGCACAGCGGGAGCCCCAGATCCTCCTGGTTTCACAGGCTTGACTGGCAGGGCCTAGGCCCTGGCTCTCAGGCACTGAAAGCACTGTCAGTTTGCCTACTGTGCTCAGGGTATCCCCAGGGACCTCCTCCTCTGCACCCTGGATCAGAAACATCATTAGGCCATTTTAAAAAACGGAGATATTTTGCTGTTGTCACATTAGGTCATGTGCAGTGTAACTTGTGGTTGCATGGTTACAGTGCTGAGTTTTGACAGTCATATTCAAAACTAAAACCTATGTAGGAAATGTTGAGACAGCAAATGCTGTTAGCTTTTCACTTAAAAATGTTAACATGTCTGACAGTTTTCTGTTTTAAAGATAGGTTATACAGCCAAATGGGTCATTTGGTCCAATGGTGTGGAACAAAACACCGGCAGCAGTGATAGAAACTTGCTCACAGCATTTTCATGCTAGCAACCCATCCTCAGAGACCAGTGAGTATCCTAGAAGCACACCTCCTGCCAAAATTACTCCCAGGGCGGGGACAACCTCTGAGTGCTGAGTTTACAGGTGAGCACTACCACACTATTTGGTTTTTGGTTTTATTTCTTAATGTACACAACACAGGAAGGTTCTACTATGTGAAGGAATACATTTAGCAAGCATCTTTGTCCTTGTTGCATGTTGTTTTCTCAAGTGAGATTGCTGGTAGACTTGAAAGTCTAGAGAAGCCCGTCTTAGTGCTGCAGACCCACGTAGCACTTGGAAAGATGCTAGTCTTCGTAATGCAGATGTGCTCATTCTTGCAGTTTAGTTTCAGGCTTACTTTTTTTCCTCTCCCCCCCACCCTCCAAAGTCTCATTATGTATCCCATAAGGCCCCACATGGGTGGTCGTCCTGCCTCAGCCTCCCTAAGTGCTGGGACACAATATCCATTCTGAACTGAGGCACAAGAAGGAGCATGAGGGGGCCGGGAAGCAATTTCCACTCCCTGAAAAGTGGGTCTGTGTTTTCTCTGGATTGCAGAACTGCCCAAAGTGGTGTTTGTTTATAATCAAATTGGATTGGTGTCCCTGGGACTTGTCAGTACAAAAACTCAAAGCCAAGACCAATTAAAAGAAATATGTTTTTATCCTCAGATTTGTCTTTAATGTTTGACATTATTATCTATAAAAATAGACCTATGTGGAAACTACTGTGATGCCAGGGTCTGGAAATTTCAGGCACCTTTCGTATTTGAAAAGAGAACATACCAAGTGCCTGTCCCTTTTCCCCAGAGCTAGTGGGCTTGCTCAGGCACGGCAGGTGGTTGCTGCAGTCCTGTGACAGCTGACTGCCATTCTCTGTGGCTAAAGCAGGGGGCCTGTGGCCCGAGTACAATTCCCTAGCCCCACCACAGGAAGAGAACACATGCCAGCCACAGTCTAGATATAGTGAGATCGAAACTCAATTAAAAACAGCCAGACAAAAGTGACTCATGTACAACAGGGACCCAGAAAAGTTATCAGCCAACCTCAGGAAGGACTGGGGGGGGGGGGCGGGTATGGAGATGGGAAGACTCCTCCAAGAAACAAAGTACTCTGAAAACCAGGAACTATTCATATGACAAAAATCATCCATTTAGACATGGCATGGTAGTACATCCCTTTGTTCCCAGAGCTTAGGAGGCAGAGGCAGACCTGAGTTCGAGCTTGGTCTACAAAGCAAATTCCAGGATAGCCAGAACTATTAACACAGAGAAACCCTTCCAGTCTTGAAAAAACAAAAACATTGAGGAAAAAAATTAGCTTCTTGGCTTGGGTGTAGCTCAGTGATGGAGTGCTAGTCTGTGGGCAGCCATGAGTTCAATTACCAGACACCCACACACACACATGCACGCGCGTGCACGCACAAATTCCTAAGGGTTTTGTGTTTGTGTGTCTTGGTATGAGTAGTGAAATGCAGCCTTAGCTGTATAGAAGGGACGAACAGGTACGGAAGGACCCCCTATGGAGTAAGCTAGGGCACACATTTTGCCATACTCTGTGTTGACCCTTCTTTAAAGTGTGCCCAGGCTGCAACGTGAGTTCAGGAGACCACAGACCAAATAGTGTATCCCTCTCAGCTCCAAATAGGTTCTCTTTAGTCAGGAAGTAATACCTGGCTCAACCACTGTTTTGCCTTAGGACATTACCCTGTGGGTTGGGGTGGTTTTGACAGAATCTCCCCATGTCATCCAGGCAGGCTTCAAATTCAGATCCCCACCTCAACCTCCAAAGTTTGGCAATGATAGTCATGGACCAACACAACACCTAGACATAACCTTTTGCTGAGTCTGACTTTGTAGCCCACTGGGTGGACTCTGGCAACCCTGGGGAGGGTTCAGTAGGGTCAAGACCTCTCTGTGGCAAGTACCTTACCAATGGGCTAGTTACCATGGTGGCTCCAGACTGGCCTCCCAGCTTTCTCAGGAAGCTAGCCTAGAAAAAGTTCTTTACTTTCAACTCTGGGTAAGAGAAGCTCCCTGTTCTGCAACACACACACACACACACACACACACACACACACGAGTAGAGAGGCAGAGGCAGCCCAGTTCACAGCAGCTCTCAGTAACACAAGACAGCACATTCTACAGGAACACACCAAGGAGCCTATCCTCTCCTAGTCAAGGTACTGAGATCAGGATATCTCAAGATTGCAGCCATGACACTGGTTTGCAAAGCTGATGAACAGAGCCTTAGAGGGAATTTTTACTGACTCCCCAACTGAATACCTTTTCTCCTTAAATGAACCCGAGCCAAGCCAAAGTTTTGTTTAAAAGCACAATGTAGCTGAGTCTGTGGTCTCAGCACCAGGGAGGCTAAGGCTGGAGGATCTCAAGTTCAGGCCAGCCCAGGCTGCCTCGGGATCTCTTGTCTCCATAAACAAAATGAAGAAAAACAATCTCAAAGATGGAGGAAGAAAAGTAACTGGGTTTGACACTTCTGAGCCAGCAAAAGTTGCCAGAACTTGTGCTATGATCTCCTGTATCTACTAGACATGCTTGGCAGTGGGCAGAACCTATGCATGATCTCCTGCATCTACCAGACATCCTTGGGACTGGGCAGGGCACCTCTGAGGCAGGAGATCACCCAGTCCCACCAAGCTGTTGGCCATGGTGACCTGTGGCAGCTGCATTCCCTCCTGAAGAAGGTGAGTACAGACAGGCCCCACAGCGCTCTCCTGTGGCAAACACACACAGTGACAGTCACCAAGAAACACAGGAAAGACTTTCACTTTCAGGATCCGAGGGGCAGAGGCACACCAGGATGAAGGAAGGCACTGACTCCATCCAGCCTTTGCCACTTCTGGCCTTCCAGCTTTCTGGTGGGTCCTTTCCTTTTCCCATTCCTTCCCTTTTTCCTTCCTTACTTTTTTTTTTCTTTTTTTTGAGACAGGGTCTTCTCTGTGTGGCTTTGGAGCCTATTCTGGAACTCACTTTGTAGACCAGACTGGCCTTGAATCACAGAGATCTGCCTGCCTCTGCCTCCCAAGTGCTGGGATTAAAGGAATGCACCATCACACAGCTTTTTCTTTCATTTCTAAAGCAGAGTCTGACCATGTAGTCTTGGCTGTCCTGTAGAACTAGCTCTATAGACCAAGCCTGACCTGAACTCACAGCCATCTGCCTGCCTCTGCCTCCTGAGTGCTGAGATTAAAGGTGTGTCCCACCACATTCTTTTCTTTTGTTAACAGGATCTCACTGTACAGCTCTGGTTAGCTAGATACTTGCTATGTTGCCAAAATTGACTTCCAACTGTGGCGATCCTCCTGCCTCATCTTCCCAAGTCCTGGGAATACAGGCATGAACCACTTGACTTGATTTACATTTTGTAAATGAGCAACCCGGGGTAGTGGTGTAGACTGATCGATTGATTTATCAGTCATACATTGATGTAATCTGGACAGCAGATTTGAATGCAAGCAGAAGTGGGAAGGATAGCCAAGGTCCTGGAGCCAGACTGAGGTCAGAAAGTTGGCCTTCCTTAGTCTATCTAGTGCCCCAGAAGTCAGCTCTACACACCTCTCCACAGGGACAAGTTTCCCTTGGGGAAGCCCATCATGCTGGGTCCCTGACTTCTGCAGGAGGGAGGGTGAAGCAGGTGCTGGGCCACCTGCTTTTGATGGACATAGCGCTGGCGTTCCTCCCGGGCT